GTGCCTTCTGGCCCATATACATCTGCATCTCATATAGACCATTTCACAAGGTGTAAACAACACTGGTCCAGAAGCACTTCCTGTTTCAGTTTTTTAACACTACATAAAAGCTGGGATAAAATACAACCAACAGAACATTTAAAACTGAATCAAAAAGTTAAAACAAACAAACATCTTTAAGATGTTTTCTTTACATGTGAAATAAAGAAAACAGTTACAAACTGAAACAGGAAGTGCTTCTGGACCAGTGCTGTTTACATTTTGTGAAATGGTCTATCCACAAGTTTCCGAGGGGCGCTCCTGTAAAAAATAAAGTGGGTGAAACTTCCGGTGACGTGGCGGAAGTAGCATTCCAATGGTATTTTGTGTGTTAGTTAGCGAAGAGGCTAGCTGTTTTTTGGAGAATTATTTTACAATTTAAAGACGCCAATCTTTATGAGAGATGTCGTTACGGAGCTCAGGGACAACATGTGCTGTTCGCGGTTGTATGTATAACCGGACTAAACTAATTCAGTGGCTTAAACGTGATTGTTTTGAACATAAGCTGAAAACGAAATCTGATCCTACCAACGACTGAAGTTTCCATCAACCTCCCAAAAGACGACGAATCATCCGGTGTACATTTGTTTAAAATCTTAATATTCTATAAACTCTATCAGCATGTGTTTGGCTGTTCGCTACTGATGTTACACCTAAACTCAGGATCAAAGCCTGTGTTGACAGAATACCAAATGTGCCAGTTAATGTATTCAAGTAGCACATTCATTTATAATTTTGAATAAACTCCAAAGCACAATGACTAAGTGTGTATTTTTTATTTTAATTGTTTGTCAGTTCGTACAACTGTCTGTCACCATGCCTTGATGAGTATTGATTATTAATAATGTTATTATACTCCCAATCAACTACTGCGGAGGGTAAAGGCACTGTTATTTCACCCTTTTTAATTTCGTTGAGGTTGTGTTCCCACATTGTTAGCTAGTTTGGATCGCTATAACTTGAATGACTGTCAACTGTTGAATGAACAAGTGTCAAGCATGTCAAGTAGCGCTTTGTTTACTTCAAACCGGAAGTCGCGCCCACTTTTGACGCAAGGCCTCATGGGGCGTAGGAAACTTGTGGATAGAGTGCCGAAGTGATGACGTCACTTTGTAGGACAACTCGAAAGCTAGCGGCGCATGGGTTCCCTCGGTCCAAAAGCAATGCATTTTCCCCATAGACTTTTGGAAAATCGCAAAAAAATAAGATCTGTGTTTCACAAAGAGTTGTGACCCTTACACGTTTTGTCTACCAGTTAATCCAAAATTTATACATTTTGAAGTCTATATAAAGATTTTAAAAAACACAATCAGACACAATAAAGTTTTTTAAAAAAACACAAGCAGGTTATAACTGTGTGTTCTATGTCATAGATCAAAACGTGAAAATATTTCGAGGCTTTGTTCACCACAGACCTTATTTCAGGCGATTTAGCAAAAACCCATTCAAAAATCCCATGGTCTTCAGAGCGAGGGAAAATGCTAATTCACTTCCGCGTTTTGGCCTATAGAGTGACGTCGTAACTTCGGCACTCTATAGATGCTAAAGGGTGCCATGTGTGCCAGATGTAGACGCAATGTCAAAAGCGTCAGTATATGACGCCTTGGGATGAGAACGGGCTGAATGAACAATAGGAAATGCAGGTGCAAATCAGAGTTATTGTAGTATAGGGATGATGAATGGATGAGTTTACTGTCTTTGCAGGTGATGAAGCAGATCGTGGACCAAGGATGCACACACCTCATGCATAACATTGAGGTCATCTTCAAACAAAAACAACACTGGAGGCACAATGGAGATGGGAACACAGAATCACCGGAGTAACATCCGAGCTTTAGTTTTCTCATAAACGGGACCGGACAGTCTCTGCATCCCAAAACTGAAAAATGCTGCCTTCGGAGAACATAAGATATCTTCATCTGATCGATTTTTGAAAGCAACGTAGATGTGTTCGTCTCTGCCTTTGATAACCCACAATCCTGTGCTTTCCATTCTGTGACAGTTGAGCTATAAATTCAAGATGCCATCTGAAAGTTGCCAAAACCATGAAGGACGCCCTTTTTAATCTTGCTTATTTATTGGAAAAAATCGTATTAAATCCAAAATGATATCTATCATCCTGCTCATTAACAACCATATAAACATTCACCACACTCTCTAGTCAGCTTGCTTACGATTCTGGAATTTATGGCAGGCTAAATGTGACTTGAGAGGGCATTCATGTCCAATTTTTAACTAGGAAACTTGTATTTATGATAATTTCGATAACACGTGAAGGCAGCATAATACCATTTAAAATACAGATAGCTATTCTGTAATTAATATTATGTTATGTTATATTATTATATTATATATGCTAACCACAAAGAAAATGTCTCATTTGGAAAATTCAAATACTGTCTAAAGTATAATACAACATATCTATATTTAAAACATACAGTTGTTTGTCAGAATTAATGACACCCCTGGTAAATATGATCAAAAATGGCAGTACAAAATAAATCTGCATTGGCATGGGGTAATTTATATCCCTGTTTGCACCAAACACATCCAGCATGTTTGCTGCCAAAAAGCCCTTTTTTTGTTTCATCTGACCACAGAACCACAGAAAATCAAAACGATAACCAATGCAGATTTTTCTTTTACAGCCATGTTTGATCATATTTACCAAGGGTGTCATTAATTCGGCCTACAACTGTATTACATATTATTAAACATATTTCATAGCTTTTCAGTAATTGCCAAGAATACTCAGACATATAAGAACGAGGTGATAAGTTGAATACACACAACGGTAAGTTTATTGACACTGCAGCAACTAAGCAGATGAGTAATAGCAGAAATATAATACAATACAATAATTATTCTCAAAATATTATAATTTTAGGACAGAATTTGTAAGAAATCATTGTAATTTACAAAGGTGTTTGGCATGTTCAAAACCAGAGAAAACGCTATGCAGTTGGACATTTGGCTCATTCTTATGGTTTAAGAAGTTAATTGAACTTCATGACAACTAGCCCCATCAGTGTCCCTTTTACATTTGAAATATAATTTTAGTCCTTATGCTATTTGTCCTATTTCTGTTCCTGTAGCTCAAAGAGTATGGCACTAGCAGTGATCAATCCCCAGGGAATACATGAATACCTTAAAGTCGTTTTGAATAAATGTGTCTGACAAATGTATAATGCCAAGCCCCTGAAAAGGGTTCAGGCAACAAGTGAGCGATTACCAAACAATACAACAGTTCCATCTAGTGTTTGGTCTCAAAGGCTAAAAGAAAAGCTCATTTCCAGTGGATAATGTTGCTGCATTTCATTGGTACATGTATGCATGTTCTTCTGAGATTAGATGGAACCAAGCTGTGTTTCTCCTCCAGATGAAGGTGGTTTTATTTCCTGCCAACATTTACCAACAACTGATTTAAGATTACATTCACACGTGTAAAATAATGTTTCTTAATGCAAAAGTGTTGCAATATCTACAACTGTGGATCCAATGGAAATTTTGTTCATGCTTAACATCATGTTCTGTTTTCATGTTTTATGGAGTGTCTTCATAGACAAAATTATTTTTATACACGGTTAGACCTTACCAGGTTTTTTACAGTAAAATACTGGCAACATCGTTGCCAGTAATTTACTGTAAAAATGCACTAAAACTAATAATTTGTATTTTTTAGTTAACTTGAGTTTTAGTGCATTTTTACAGTAAATTACTGGCAACAGTGTTGTAAAAATGCAATAAAACTAATAAGTTGTATTTTTTAGTTAACTTGAGTTTTAGTGCATTTTTACAGTAAATTACTGGCAACAGTGATAACACTAACCCTACCCATCACAGACACATTCTGCATTTTTACATTTTCCACCCTAAAAAATGAAAATGCAGGAAAACATTAGTTTTACTTGTTATGGTTTATAAGCTGTTTCACTCAATGTCTCCACAAGGACAAGGATCTCGAATATTGCCATGTTTGTGGGTACATTTTGTCCTATCATTTTTTTAAGGGTTTTAAAAGAGACAACTATCTACAAGCAGAGGGCAGTGTGTTTCAGAAAATGTCAGCCTACTTGCAATGCAAAATGATTCTGTCTGTTTGCAACTTTGCATAAAGTGATGTTTTTAAAAAGTGAATATAACACATGAACTACATTATCATTGTGATTTGCATATCAGTCCTGCCAATTATGCACAACTGTGTAAACTGAATCTTATCGTCCTCATGTTATTCCTCTTTTCTCTCAGGTTACACAGTTAGGGGCCGGTATATCTGACATCACTTCCTCCTGCGTGTGCCTTTGATTCACACTCGATGAAACCAATGATGGACACGTTCCTTGTATCTGTATCTCTATTGATGTTGACAGGTAAAAATAAACAAATATGATCTTGTTAAATCTTTACCACACAATGTACAGATTATTTGAGCCTAAACATGATTATAAACAAACACTTTCTCCACAGCGGGATGTCTTGGTAAAACTGTGGATCAGACGCCTGATAACCTCATCAAGAATCAAGATCAATCTGCTGTGATCGTGTGTGCTCACAATATACAGAACTATGACCAAATATTCTGGTACAAACAAAGTCAGGACACGCCAGGCCTCAAATTAATGGGATACCTTTATTATAAGGATGAGACTAAAGAGACTGAATTCACAAACAAGATCACATTGAAAGGAGATGCACAAAAAAATGGCAATTTGACGATCAACCGCCTCAGACTGAATGACAGTGCAGTGTATTTCTGTGCAGCGTATTACACACAGTGTTCACAATCACCTCTGACTCACACAAAAACCTCCTCTTATAAACATCTGTTTCTGTGGCAAGAGTTTTTATTCACGTTCCTCTTCACACCTGTGGATTCTGATTCAGACAATACCTGTTACTTAAAGAGTTGCTTAATTCAATACATCGCAATTCAGGAGCTGAAGTTAAATCTTAATTTCTGAATTTTGCCCCTCCCTGAGATCACCACTACAATCATGATGTCACATCCTGTATTAACAACTGAAATTTGAATAATCACTGAAGATTATAATATAACTCATATTGGTGCTCAAATGAACTGCACACACAAAAAGGTTTCACAATGACTCAGATGTACTGGTATGGACAACGGCGCGGACAAACTATGACTCTTATTGTGTTCACAAGTTCTGTGAGCGATCCAGACTATGGATGGAGATTCTGATCCAGTCAAATTCACAGCCAACAAACCAGTTCCCGAGAGAAGAAGTTCACAATGAAGTGAACTTTACCAAGAGTTCATCAAAAACAGCTGCCGCTAATAATGACAGTGATCAACAGGGGGCGATGTGATCCCACAAATCTGCAGCTTGTTCATATTAATATATATCCTGTGTTATCCTCTCAAGAACAGGATTCAATGCACTCATAGCCATTGCTAAACATGATCATTGTTCTGCTAATCCTGTCACTGTGTTGGAGTCAATGTACAGTTTATTTATTCAGAGCATTACAATGTCAAATAATACAATATAAGAACTGTACTGTGTTGATACAGAAATAATCCTTCGGCATTTTGCAGGTGCTTCAAGTGGAGATGGTGTTTCACAGCCTGGCAGTGTTTGGACCCTCGAGGGGAAATCTGCTCAGATGAACTGCTCACACAACAAGGGTCGTGACTATAATCAGATGTACTGGTACCAGCAGCAAAAAGGAGAGAGTTTGAGGCTCATCGTGTTCACAACAAGCTATGGGGATCCAGACTATGGAGATTCTGACCAAACTAAATTTGAAGCTCATAAAAGCGTTCCTGAAAGCGGATCTCTCACTGTGAAGAACACACAGCCAGATGATAGTGCCATATATTTCTGTTCAGTGAGCAAACACAGTGTGTCAAACACTGAAGGCAGATGTACAAAAACACCTTACACAGATCAGATCAATATACCATCCAGAAGGGGGCGCTCTGGTACAGTTCAACACACAATGTCTTATGGAGTGATTCCTGTCCATTTAATATACTAGTATATACTACTCACGCTATGTGCACCAAACTGTATCTCTCTATGGCAGAAATAACAAGAGTATGTGGATCTGAATTCAGAAATGCATAGAGAAAACAAAGCCTAGATGACATCACTTCCTTCATCACCTGCCTTTAATTCCCCGTAAAGTCGATCATCAGAGAGAGAGACGACATGAGTAATGCTCACTGTGTTTCTGTCCTGGTCCTGTGTCCTGTGTGTCAGTCTAGTGTGTTTGTGTCACTGAGATATTTGAGCTCCTCACAGCTTTATATTGTTTATTCATTCAACAAAAACCTCACTGTGATGAAGCTGGGCCTCAGTATGAAATTAAAGTGTTTTTACTCCTTGAGCATGAGCTCCATATTCTATACTCTATGAGCCATAAAAACCTTACGAAAAGCACATACTCAAACTTTTCCCCTAATATATATATATATATATATTTATGTCTTCTGAGGGTAACTTTTTTCCCACTGTACTATTATTAACCATCGAACATTGGTCTCTTTCTGAATAAAGATGATCATATTTCGCATTATTTTGTTCTTTACTGTTATAACCTATGATGTCACATCCTGTATAACAGAAACGTTTGACTCGTCAAGCTCAGGACTCAGTCTACTGTTTGCTGCATCAATTCTGAACATGATTACAATCTTCTTTATTTCACTAATTCTGTTACTGCACTGCCAAGGTATCTAAAATATGCTAATATTATCTCTGAACTGTACTAAACTATAATCGTTTACTATGCACTTTTCCTTCAATATTCACAGGCACAGCAGGTGATAGTGATGTTGTTCAACAACCTTTTCTTTGGAGAGAAAAAAAGAGTTCAGCAGTTATGAACTGCACACACACGAAGGGAGCAACTTACTACCAGATGTACTGGTACCGCCAGCGTACCGGAGAGACTATGAGGCTTATAGTATTCACTATGACCAACTCAAAGCCAGAATTTGGAGAGGTCGATGAGAATAAATTTGAAGCTCATAAAAGTGTTGCTGAAAGTGGATCTCTCACAGTGAAAGATCTCGAGCCGGAAGACGGTGCCATATATTTCTGTTCAGTGAGTCAACACAGTGTGTGAAAGTCTCCAGAAACCTGTACAAAAACATCTGTTTATGAAATATTAATGACAGTGTTAGTCAACAGGTGGCAGTCTGAGACAACCAATTTAATGCACGACAACAGCTGAGGTAAACAATTACAGACCTGTGACTGATTTTTGTGTCACATGACCCTTCCTAGCTGACATCACTTCCTCAGGCAGAATAGCTTGGAGAAAGAAGCCATGATGAACACGTACCTTAGCGTTTCTGTAATGATGTTTACAGGTAATAACAACAAATAAAAGTGCACTTGTTACAGAAAAAAAGTAATTGTACAGATCTTTTAGCCTAAACATCACTGTACACTGTTTTCAAATTATTTACTCAGTTATACATTGTTTTTTTCTCTCCACAGTGGGATGTCTTGGTAAAAGTGTGGATCAGACGCCTGATAACCTCATCAAGAATCAAGATCAATCTGCTGTGATCGTGTGTGCTCACAATATACCGAGCTATGACCAAATCCTGTGGTACAAACAAAGTCAGGATACGTCAGGCCTCAAGTTAATGGGATACCTTTATTATAGTGAGAATAAAGAGACTGAATTTGAAAACAAGATCAAACTGGAGGGAGATGCAAAGAAAAATGGCACTTTGACTATCAAGAACCTTAAACTGAATGACAGCGCAGTGTATTTCTGTGCAGCGTATTACACACAGTGTTCACAATCACCTCTGACTCACACAAAAACCTCCTCGTATAAACATTGTGTTCCTGTGGCAAGAGTATTATTGACAAGTGTTTCTCTCCACACCTGTGGGTTTGATTCAGAGCCAGTACTGAACACATACAGTAGGTCTAGCAAACAATAGCACATATTTTATAATAAAAAAAACCCTAAAGGTCTTTAGTTTGTAAAAAACTATATTTTCCTATTGTTTGATGATGAGTGCAACAATGTTAAAAGAATCATATAATAATCAAATATAAATTGAATTTGTAATTTGACTGTTTATTAGTAGGCTACTTATTAAGCAGATATTAATGCCATAACTTGAGTATGGCCTTATTATTATTACAAAATAGTATTATGAACTTAACCATTACAAAAACTACCTTTCTCACCATTAATAAGCAGCAAGGAGTTTATTGAGGAAAAACTCAGTTAAGAGTTAATATGTGTTCCCTAATCTAAAGTGTTACTATCGAATCATATTAATAAATAGTCTGATGTCTAAGCGCTTCTATAGGGGAATATAAAAGATTGATCTCAGATTATAAATCAGCTTGGAGGTGTACATATGAATTTACACCAAATCTGCTTGTAGTACAGTTAAAAATATATAAAAAATATATTTATAAATATATAGTAAACTTAAAATGCAAAAAAAATATTTATAAATACTAGTAAACTATGATGTTAAGTTCACTTAAAGAAAACATACAAGTTTACTTGCCGTATAAAACTACCAAATTAGTCGTATACTTCAAAGTGTACTTTCACAAACTATAAAATGTGCTAGAAGTATTTGACTAGTAAACTATCAGTATACCTATACATTCACATGTAGTTTATTTACAATACAAACGAAAAACTTAGTACTCAAAGTTTACTACTGTAACACTTAAAGTATACTATACTTTTATACACTAAAAAGTGGGCCAATTTACTTGAACTTGAAGTATACTTGTAAGGGACAGTTACCTTTTTAGCAACAAATAACAAATAAACTACATTATCATTGTAATTTGCACATCAGTGTTGCTATTTATGCACAACTCTTTCTGTGTAAACTGAATCTTATTGTCCACATTTTATTCCTCTTTTCTGTCAGGTTACACGAACTAATATATCTGACATCACTTCCTCCTGCGTGTGCCTTTGATTCACAGCAGAAAAACTCGATGAAACCAATGATGAAGACGTTCCTTGCATCTGTATCTCTACTGATGTTGACAGGTAAAAATAAACAAATATGATCTTTTTAAATCTTTACCACACAATGTACAGATTATTTGAGCCTAAACATGATTATAAACAAACACTTTCTCCACAGCGGGATGTCTTGGTAAAACTGTGGATCAGACGCCAGATAACCTCATCAAGAATCAAGATCAATCTGCTGTGATCGTGTGTGCTCACAATATACCGAACTATGACCGAATCCTGTGGTACAAACAAAGTCAGGACACGTCAGGCCTCAAATTAATGGGATACCTTTCTTTTAAGGATGAAACTAAAGAGACTGAATTCACAAACAAGATCAAATTGGATGGAGATGCAGAAAAAAATGGCACTTTGACTATCGAGAAGCTCAGACTGAATGACAGTGCAGTGTATTTCTGTGCAGCGTATTACACACAGTGTTCACAATCACCTCTGACTCATACAAAAACCCTGTCTTTTAAACAGCTTGCTTCTGTGAAATGCATATCTATGTTCCTGCCCACATCACTGGATTCTGATTCAGAGCCAATTCTCAGCACAATACTGTAGGTCTAGTCTTAAAGCAAATATGTTGTTTAGAAAAAAAAAAATCTTAAGGATTTTAGTTTGTGACTATTAATTGCTGTTAAGTTTTGATGGACACAGAACTATAATGAAGAATTTTAGACAGGATAAAGACTGATCTATAACAGGAAAACAACATGTGTGCTGCCTATAGTTGACATCACTTCCTCTTGTGCCTTTACTTCATAGCAGAAGAACTCAGTTTAGTAGTAAGAGCTGACATGATGAACTTTTTACTTTTACTGAGCATATATGTATGTCTATTGTGGCTAACAGGTAATAGTACAGATATGAATATGATGTTGTGCAAATAGTGATAAGAATATAATATTTATATAATTTTATTTCAAAACATTACTTCTCACTGCAAAGTATTTTCTCTCTCCATGCACAGCGGCAAATCACGCAAAACCGGTTTACCAGAGTCCCGGTGACCTCATGAAGAACCAAGATGAACCGGCTGTTTTCGTATGTTCTCACAATATACAAGACTACAACCAAATGCTGTGGTACAAACAGAGTCGAGACACGTCTGGCCTCACGCTGATGGGATACCTTAATTTTAACCAAGAAAATAAAGAGCCTGAATTTGAAAACAAGATCAAACTGGAGGGAGATGCAAAGAAAAATGGCACTCTGACTATCAAGAAGCTCACGCTGAATGACAGCGCAGTGTATTTCTGTGCAGCGTATTACACACTGATACACACAGCCAAATCTTAATACAAAAAGCTGTTACCTGTTACTCTAACAGGACTCACCACAGATCTGCCTCATCTGCGAAAGGCTCAGGGTTTGATTTGCTGCCAACATTGAGTTGAGATGTAGTGTCTTATTTCTAAGAATGTTTGAGTAAATCCAAGTGTGAGTAAAACAAGGCCCACCACATGTTGATCTCATTTAGTCAATTAAGTTGATACACAAGCCAGGGTTGCCAAGATTCCAGACTTATTGCATTATATATATATATATATATATATATATATATATATATATATATATAGTATATATACATAAAATATAGGCATTATATTTGACTGAAATGCTTGTATTGCGATATTTTATATTGATAAAACTGTGCTACTGTAGATGTGAAGTTTTGTGAAGGAAGGCCATTGGCAGGGAGCATTTGAGGTGTTTATGATCAATACGACATAGCTGTTTTCAATTCGCATTGCAGTGTGACAGTAAAATATGGGTTTTTGGTATGGGAATGATTTTGAATCATCAACAATATGGTTTTGAATTTTGGTATATGGTCATTGGGTTACTTTTGGATATAGTTTTGATTAGTTTTGTTACGCAGACCTGGCAACCCTGACATGCATCCATGAAAGATAGAGGGAGCCATTTCTCTGTTAATACTAAATCAGAAAAATAGAAAAATGTGCATGTTTTAATTATATTGTAAGAATTATTATGGCGTGGATAATAAAAAAAACAGAATCTGTTAATGCTAAACAATATGTTAATTGTCTCTTTCTCCAACTTTTCCCTTTAAATGGAATTTTTACTATATATCTCACCAGCTTGTTGAGATGACATCATTTCCTATTAGAAGTGTCTTCCTGCATTTAATGCACAGCATTGTCCCCAAAAGCATAAGCAAAGATGACTAGTATTCTTCCAAGTGTTTGTGTTTCTCTAGTGTGCCTCACAGGTAACCATATGGAAACTTTTTAGTTATTATTTTATTATGTGAACTTGTTTTACACTGATAACAGATGTATTTTCTCTCGATTACAGCCTGTCTCGCTGAAACTGTTCTCCAGTCTCCTGGAGACCTCATACAGAACCAAGATGAACCTGCCATGATCAAATGTGCACACAATATAAGGAGTTACGATCGTATTCTTTGGTACAAAAAGGACATGGGCTTTAAGTTAATGGGATACCTTAATCTTGAAAATGACTACCCAGAGCCTGAATTCACAAACAAGATCAAACTGAGCGGAGATGGAAGAAATAATGGCAATTTGATGATCAACAGCCTCAGACTGAATGACAGTGCAGTGTATTTCTGTGCAGCGTATTACACAGTGTTCACAATCACCTCTGACTCATACAAAAACCCTGCGATACCAAAGCTTCAGCTTATCTGTGGCTGCAAATTCAACTCTACACCTGGACCTGTAAGGTTTGATTTCGTACCAGTCATAAAACACAGAAGTATTCTTGCTTCAATGATGGACATGTAACATGATAGGCACGGCAGACTAGGCCTGTTACGAGATTAACTGACTACAAATACTTTAACGTAATATTTGGCACAATTTACATCCACGAGTCCATAGTTTATTTCAGATCCAAAGTGATTATTCCTAGATATGCAACACTCAAAATTGTATGTAAATAAAGTAAACACTGGCTCAACTCACCTGACACCCACTATAATTATGTATTATATATCATAGACATTTTAACAAAGGTTTCAAAAGTAGAAATACATTTGAAATCTTTTTTTTTATCTTATTTTTCAGTTAATCATGGTAATTGTTTTTTCTTGTAAAAATCGGATTCAAGTATTGATTCAGAAACTAACATTTTCATTTTTACACTTCTTTCAGTCTAAATGCACGGCAGGAAATTGTTGTAATCCTAAAAGCTGTGGATAGGGGGCGCTGAGGGTCCATACTAGACTACAGCCATGATCATGTTGCAACGCTAAAAGGGGATGAGGAATCATATCAAACCAAACTTTATTTTTTTTCACTCCAGTCTATATCAACATGATCAGAGTCCTCTTTGTCTCGCTATTTTTGCTAACAGGTGAATATTTTATCATATAAAACATGAGTTTAAAGGGAGTTGTTGAGTAATGCAGTGCTCTTACACCATTTGCTATATTGTTTCTTTTCACAGGTTCTGTCGTCAATGGCAGTGTTCAACAAAGTCCGTCAAATCGAATTAAAACCGAGAGAGATTCTGCTGAATTTGTCTGCACACACAACATCACATCATACACCATGATCTTCTGGTACAAACACACACGAGGACATGCATTTACATTACTGGGATATATCTGGAATAAAAATTATTTTCCAGAGGATGATTTTAAAAATAAAATCAGTTTGAATGGTGACGGAACCAAGAACGGATCCTTAAAAATCGTAGATCTTGCTCTGAGTGACAGTGCGATGTACTTCTGCGCTGCGAGTTTACACAGTGTGATGTGCACTCATGACACAATACATAAACTCTGAAAACAGCAGAATCATGAAGCGTCTGCACCTGCTCAACAGATCTGATACACACATGCCGGTGGCAGTCGTGTGGTCTGAATATCAATAGGAAAACTTATACAGGTCACATAATGAATTCACATCTTGTTTGATGAAATTCATGTCAAACATATCAAAACAAAAGAAAAATGTAAATATCATTAATCAAATTAAATTAACACAATTTTTACAGATATACAAATATATTTGGGGTTTCTTCTTGGGTAGAGAGTGTATATCCGACACAGTCTGTGACATCATTTCCTGCATCTCCTGCATTTAAACTCATAGTTGAGTGGATCAGCAGAGAGAGAGACGACATGAGTAATGCTCCTTGTGTCTATGTTTTTGTTCTGCGTCTTGCAGGTAATCATGTGTCAGCTAATATTGTTATGTTATTTGAATTAGCACTGAAATGACTTTTTACAAAGTTTGTGCATTCGTATCTTTAAACAGTGAGCGTTCTTGGTGAAAGTGTTGTCCAGACTCCTCCTGATCTCCTGAAGAAACAGGATGAATTAGCAGATATCAAATGTTCACACAAAGTACAAAGCTATGATGTCATACAGTGGTACAAACAGAGCCAGAGCATCATGGACCTTCGGCTCATGGGATATCTTAATATTAAATATGAGAACAAAGAGACTGAATTTACAGACAAGATTAAACTGAGCGGAGATGGAAGAAATAATGTGACTCTGAGGATCGACAGCCTCAGACTGAGTGACAGCGCAGTGTATTTCTGTGCAGCGTATTACACAGTGTTCACAATCACCTCTGACTCATACAAAAACCCTACTGTGATGTGCAAGTTCATCACATGACCTCTTTATGTTTGTCAAATTGTAGTCTTGTTTAATTCAGGGGTGTCCAGTTATAATCTGATATTTATAATAGGGATGGGCATTCGATTAAATTTTCTTAGTCGGAAGAATTAACGATCGACAATCGATTAATCATTCACATTTTTATATTCAAATTTATTATATTTCACTTTTTATAAATTAAAAATGCAATGAAAATACAACAATAAAGCGTGTTTTTCCTCGATTAGATATTTATCACAAGATGATCAACTTGTGGCAGTTAAACTGGGCGTTCGGTTAGGCTAAATTTGAAGATATGCGCGGCGGTGCTCTAACGCAACTGAACCTGCAGCTGCGAGTTGGCCCTCGTGAGACCCTCGTTTGTTCCAAAATAATAAATAATAATAAAAATAACTTAATCAACAACATAATAACATTTAGATCTGACAGGTTTTGTCAACATGTAACTCAATCAAGGCACAGAGTCGAGAAAGGGTGAGAGAGATTAGCCTACCTGACAATCAATTAGGCTAGGCTACTATAAGCTTCATAAAAAATAACTCAAACAACTTCTGCTCCAGTCTACTGATTTTTGTTGAGAAAGAGAGGCATATTGATGACATGATCTGGGGTCATGATCACAAATCTTTTTTCGAGTCATTTAGTTTAGATTTAACAAACAAAATGAACGTATCGACTCGGAAAAAGATTCGTTCATTTTTCATGAACGAGTTTGAACAGGAGAGTCACAAACATGCATCACAGAACAAAGCAAGGCGATAATTTGTGCTTATAAAACTCAAACTTTGTTATTTATTTATTAAATGAGCGATCGTTTCGCTTGATAAGACCTTTATTCATCGTTTGGAATTGTTTAAAGCCCTTTGAACAGTTTGCAGTTTGCACTGAAACTGTCTTTTGGACCTTGAACCGTTTGGTTCCCATTGAAGTCCATTATATGGAGAAAAATGCTGGAATGTTTTCATCAAAAACCTCAATTTCTTTTCGACTAAAGAAAGACATGGATATCTTGGATGACATGGGGGTGAGTAAATTATCAGCAAGAGTTTTTTGAAAAGTGAACTACTCCTTTAATCAAGCAGTCGAGATGTAGTAGTTATTGTAATCATTAGAGGAGCTCATATGATAAAAGCTTTGAAATATTACTGCATTGCTCAAAAACAATTTACATCACTTTAGCACAGCAATTAAAACATTATTTAGTGCATTAGGGGGGAAATATTGCATTTGCTTGATAAACATGAATTATTTTGTATTCAGTAGAAGAAAGAACGTCATACAGGTTTCCAATGATAATAATTAAAGTAAATGGTGAGAATTCACAATTTTGGATGAAATGTCCCTTTATCTGTTGCCGGTCATTCACTTTCCAATTGACTTCCTGTTTGCAAACACATGATAAAAGATTATCCAACTGCTGGAACTAGCATCTAAACCGTTTGCACCCATAAATATTGCTCTTCTGCTGTACTTGATGGTTTGAACACAACCCAGAACTTTTTTTTTACATTGTATGATGTAACGACACACGAGAGACAGTGATCACACCTCTTCTGTTCAGTGACAGCGAATGAGAGCGGCCACATATTGTGTTGGCACATAAAAAAAAAAGTATATTCCTGCTTCAAGTTTGGCATGGTTTTGAAACCAATTGTCAAGATGAATCCAGTATTACTATTTCTGATAATATCCCTCCAGTGGACATCAGGTAGTTGACAATCTCGATGATAAATGAGCATTGAAATCATATCTGAGTTGCATTTGTTATGTTTGCATGTAAACTATAACATCCTCCTCTCTTTTTTCTGCCAGGTTTTGCAGATGTAAATGATATTACACAGTCTCCAAACATAATGTTACCTCTTAAGGGAAATGCCACTCTGACTTGCAGTCACACGAAAGGTTCAACTTATAACAGAATGTACTGGTTCATTCAGCATCAAGGACAGACTATGGAGCTCATCGTGTACACGACCACTTTTGACGTGGTGGAATTTGGAAAGCTCAACAAGGACAAATATTCAGTGAATTATAAGACTGCAGAGAAGGGTTTTCTTACTGTGCTCAATCTGGAGTCTCCTGACAGTGCGCTGTATTTGTGTGCCGTGAGTGAACACAGTGCGGCAGAATCACTTCACAGATGTACAAAAACTGTCACGAGAACTGATATAACGGATCACACGGACAGGTGGCACTCGTGCACAACATCACAATACAGCCTAGAATAGATGACTCTAATAGTCTCTTATAGGATTAAAGGGGTAGTTCACTTTGAAATTAACTTTTGATATGTTTTATCTCACCTCAAGGGCATCCAAGATGTAGGTGTCTTTGTTTCCACAGTATTTTCAATTTTGATATTTTTAGGTCAAACCGTTCTTGTCTGTCAGTCATATAATGGAGGTGTATGGTCACCACCTCAAAGAGCATGCACAGAGAAGTCCAAATTAAACATGATTTAATGACTTGATTTTAAGTCCACATTGATGGCCTAAGACACGAAACGAGCGGTTTGTGTGAGAAAACGAACAGTATTTATATCGTTTTTACCTCAAGAGGTAAAAACTAAATACATGAGATGCCATTTGACCTCATTTATTGCCATTAATTTCAAATATGCACAAGTTCAAACAAAAATTAAGAGCGAATCTGTGAATAAGAACGTTCAGTGTTTTCCTTACTCAAAGCTGTGCTGTATTGGCTTCAGAAGACCTTTTTTCCCCTATAAGTGCTTTCATATGGCAGCATGAACATGCTTATACAGACATTGAATGCCATTTGATGTGGCGAAGATATCGAAAACATAATTGTAAACTATTCTTCTGAAATCCAGCTTTGGGATACGTAGCAACGCTGAAATTTGGCACACAAACAGCAGGAGGCGGTGTTAACCACAACCTTTCTTGTACTAACTTAACCTACTATTACACTCAAAACAAGTGTGTGTTCTCGAAGGTAATGAGAGGAAGGTTATGGTGAAGTTGTCCACACACACACACACACGCATCTCTTTTCTGAACATGATCAGGACTCTCGTCAGAGTTGCTTTTCTCATCTGTCTGTCAGGTACAAAATATTTGACTATTCTCATCCTTCAAATTGTTAATGAAGTTATGGTATCACCCTAGAAAACATTATATAAAAAAATATTATTTAATAAATCAAGAGGCTAAATGAATAAACTGAACTGCATTAAGTTAATTATATATTTTCACTTTTTTTTTAACAGATATTTCAAATAGTCAAGATGTCAATCAGACTCAAACGGATCTAATCAAGTTTCCTGAACAATCAGAAGAGCTCCGCTGTTCTCATAGTTCATCTTACGATGTCATGCTCTGGTACAAACAAACACGTGGCGGAAGTTTGGAGTTGCTTGGATATCTTGTGGGTTCCAGTGAAACAGTCGAGGATAAATTCAAAAATAAAATAAATTTGGATGGCAATGCAAATAAATACAGCGTTTTAAAACTACAGAGTCTCTCGTCTGAGGACAGTGCGGTGTACTTCTGCGCTGCTAGTATACACAGTGCTGTGGGTTCCCTTTCTTCTCTGCAAAAACCCAGCTGCCATTGCCATTACAATGAGTGGAAACTGGAGCTTTCAAGCTTCAAAAACAGTGAAAAATCACCATAAATCTGCCCGAAAAGTGCTATACACTCTTAGAAGAAAAGGTTCTATACAGAATCATTTAGGGTTCTTTGTAACCAGGAAAAAGGTTCTATATGGAACCTTTTGGGTTCATTCATTATCATTCTGGATTAAATATTTCATATTATTGACAAACATCAAGACCCTAAAATGTATTTATGAATGCATGTGAATGATCACAAAATTCAAGATATGGGGGTTAGAAAATGTATATATTTATATCATTTTATGTAATTAATCAATATCGCACGAAGAGTGCCATTTCAGTTTTCACCTCCAAAAATCAGCATGATTATACAACAGTTTAATAAACAATCATTTAATTACAACTACAAAGTGTTGCAGAATAATGTAATATATGAATGAATTATAGCCTATTAAAGAACCTTTGTGCCAAAAGGGTTCTTTCTTGTCATTATAAACCATTTTTTTAGAATAAAAGGTTCTTTGGAATTGAGTAAAGAACCCTATGCTTCATATATAGAACCCTTTTTTCTAAGAGTGTGTATTCTGAAGCCATTCAACCACAGCTTTGTGTGATGGACAGCCTGAAATTTAGGGGGTTTGGGGGCACGTTACCATTCATGTTGTAGTTTGAGAAATGAACAACAGAGGGAAGTGTTGTAATTGTGTGTAGATGTA